CCTCCCCTCCCCCCCCTCCCCCTCCCCAAATAGTATCTGACCGCCAGGCGACCCTAATGACCAGGTGTCTCCAGGTGTAAGTCAAAGCTCAACATGCTCATTAACTGACTTACACCTGGATGGGGTAATGTCGTTGGAATTAACCTGTGTTTTGGTTTGGTCACAGGCCCCTACGATCACCAGTCAGTTGTGTTAAATAAACAAACCCCACGTGGTGTCACCCTCTGATAGATACATAGATAGATAGATAGATAGATAGATAAGAGAGAGAGAGAGAGAGAGAGAGTACAGGATGACCCCCAAGGCTTAGTACAACTCCTCCTTCTCGTGTCAGGGATTACAAGGTAGGGAGGGAGGATAGGGTGACGCCAATTAGCCACCCAGCCCCTCCCACTGCCCCTCCTCATTCCTTCCCCCCTCTCTCTCTCCTCCCATCTTCATCCCTTTTTTCCGTCCTTCCATCTTCCAGCTTCCTTCTCCCTCCTTCTCTTACTCGTGAAGGAGAGGACTTAGGGAGAGGACATCATTCTCCTTCTCTCCTTTCTCTCTCTCCCTTCCCCCTTCCCTCCCTCTCTAGTCGTGACGGAGAAGACGAAGAGAAGGGTCACCACGGTCCCTCCCCACTACACGGTCACACGCTTTGTTAATTTGTGAAGTAGAGAGTTGGTGAGGTGAGGTGAGGTGAGGCGAGGCGAGGCGAGGCGAGGCGAGGCGAGGTGAGGTGAGGTGAGGTGAGGCGAGGCGAGGTGAGGTGAGGACACAATGATAAAGGCAGTTAGTTTAGGTTAAGTTAGGTTAAAGTACATTATGTTACGTTAGATTAGGTTAAGCTTGGTTAGGTTAGGTAAGACCACATACTGAACCTGTAACGTAATCTCATCACCTGGGCGACCCTACACCTGTCCTCGGTGCTGACCCTCACACTACCTGGAGCACACAGTCATCTACCGGCCTGTTACCTGATGTAGGAGAGGTGTTCTGTCATGTTAGGGAGGGACACAACTATCTGGGGAGGGAGGGAGGTGTGGTGGTGGGGGTGGTAGGGTGGGGTAGTGGGGTGGGGTGGTAGGGTGGGGGTGAGGGTGGTAATGGGGTGGGGGTGTGGTAGTGTGGTAGCGTGGTGGTGGGGGGTCAGGGTGGTAGGGAGGTGATGGTAGTAGTGGTAAGGGGTAATGGGGGGTGACCTGTCCTACACTAGGCGTTGGTGATAAGATTAGACCAGGTATTTGGTGTGGTGGTGGGGGAGGGAGGAGATGGTTAACCCCGGCGAATAAAGGCGTCACTTGTTCTCTCTCTCTCTCTCTCTCTCTCTCTCTCTCTCTCTCTCTCTCTCTCTCTCTCTCTCTCTCTCTCTCTCCTCTTCTCTCTACCTACCACCTTTCCTCACTACCACCTACTCTTCCTCTCCTTTTCTCTATCTCCTACCCTTACCTAACACCCACCCTCCCTCCCCTTCTCCCTGTCTCTTCCTTTCTCTCTCCTCCTACCACTCACTCCTCCTCTATCTGAACCATTATACCACCCATTCTCTACCTCACCCTACCCCTCCCTGCTTCCTACCTCCCTCCCTACCTCCTACCCTCCCTCCTCTGTCCTACATCCCCTACTGCCTCCTCTCCCTCCCTCCCTCCTACCTCCCTCCCTACTTCCCTACCTACCTCCTACCCTCCCTCCCTCACTCCTCCTCTACATTCTGGTCACGTCACACAGCCAAACATGCCTTAACTGCACCGCTATCTGAGGTGACTCGTATAAAACTCATAAGGGGTCTGCTGTCACCACTTAGCCCACCCCACCCCACCCACCCCACCCCACACCCCACCCCATCCCACTTTTCCTTCTTCCGTATCCTTCCCCCTCCACCCTTTTCAGTGTCCTAGTTAAGCAAAATTCTATCATTAATTTTCAAGATTTTCCAAGATATATATGCAAGATTTTATACATTATATTGCAAGTCTTTTCTACAGCTATATGGCCTACACAAGACAACATTGCAAGCGTTGCCTCTATATTGCAAGACTATAGTGACATTACCTTCATATATAGATATCAAAAATAAATTGTGTTTTATCCACTGATGTAAGGCAGAGAATCATTGAGGGAAAGGGTGTGAGGTTGACCCAAGATGACTTATACCATAGTACTGACTTATAATCAAGGTACCGCCCCATAATTATCACCAGACTAGAGAGGGGTGAGGGTAGAGGGGTCGATCCAGTGGACATCATGAGTTTGTTTGAGTGTCTCTTGTATTCTCTTGGGCAGATGTTTCACTTGAGCTTCACCAAACGCTTCCTTCATCACTGTAAATAAAAAACTCCTTAATGCGAGAAAATCATCTTCAGCCACTCAGTAAAGGCAGACGAATCTTGATATTGACAAACACGGTAACTATATATATATAAAATTCAAGTTTATCTATATACCAGCTATGTGTTGCTTGATAAAAAATAAAGAAACATAAAATTAATCTACCACGTGTGTGTGTGTGTGTGTGTGTGTGTGTGTGTGTGTGTGTGTGTGTGTGTGTGTGTGTGTGTGTGTGTAAAAGCTCTACGTACATTACTCACCAAGTGTCTATATAATCTTGGCTACACCCCACATCCATTGGTTAGGGTTAGGTTAGTTTTTTTTTCTTGATTACTCTATCTTGTTATGAGGCGATAACTACCACCACTACCACCACTACCACCAATCACCATCAATCTCGTCCCTCTCACTATCACCATCACTACAAACTTCCTCTTTTCTTTATCCTCTCTCCCTCTTTCATTATCTTCTTTCTCTATGGTTTTTTCTCTTTCTCCCTTTCTCCTCTTCCTTTTCCCTTCTCTTACTTTCTCCTTCTCTCTTCCTTCTCTGTCCCCAAGTGGTACAACTACTGTAGTCCTGCCTAAAAACCACTCCCCCTTGTCAGTCCCTTCCCCTTGTCAGCTCCTCCCCCTTGTCAGTCCCTTCCCCTTGTTAGCTCCTCCTCCTTGTCAGCTCCTCCCCCATGTTAGCTCCTCCTCCTCCTTGTCAGCCCCTCCCCCTTGTCAGCCCCTCCCCCTTGTCAGCTCCTCCCCTTTCTCCCACACCACATCCCTCCTCCACCTACCAAACCCCTCCTTTCCCCAGCACCACACCCCTCCCCAGCACCCCCCACACCCCCCTACCACACCCTTCCCTCCTTATCTGGCGAAACTCCCCCAAAAAACAAGTCCCAATCCTGTTTTATTATTCAGGGGTCAGGATTCCCAGTGTGTGTGTGTGTGTGTGTGTGTGTGTGTGTGTGTGTGTGTACCTGCACTGTCTATGTACGTAAGAGCTGAAGATAATTAGTATTTCTGACGCAGGGAAGTACAGTAGAATACCCTTCCAGGTAGTGTCTAGGAGTCATGCTGATTGGCTGGCCGAAAGAATGATATGATGACGCAACAGTGTCGTCATACCCTTCCGTTTTCTGTGATTTACTATCCATTTACTAAATTACACCGGGAACTATTCCATGGCGGTTTCGGGGACTATTCTATCGTTTATAAGGAAATAGTATCCGGTTTGTGGTAGTATCTGGATAGTTTCATGGTAAATATGTGACAGAAACTAGATGACTTCATGGATACGTCATCGTACGTCACTCACCGAAGTAGCCAATCACGATGAACTTGGAGACACTATTTTACGTGATGTCGGAAGCTACTTGAGGCCCTGCTCACCCCCCGACACACACACACACACACACACACACACACACACACACACTAAAAATAACTCGAATATGTAACTAATTTGACTTGTGATATATTAATGACACTTAGTAATTATTCGACACGATAATCCGGTACAGTTTCATGTTATTTACAGCTTGAGTTACCTGTAGTTATGACTAATTAATTGCATTGACGATCTGTCTTAACAAGATACGTTCTGCCTATCTCTGTGTCTGTTTCTTCCTCTCTACCTGTGTCTGTCTCTCTGTCTACCTGTCTGTCTGTCTCTCTGTCTGGGCTGGTAATAGTCTGGCCTTCACATCAACAAAGACTGGATTAGCTGTACTACTTTTAATTTATTTATTTTATTTTTCTGGCGCACGATGTTTCAGCTAGATTTTTTACGGCTTCTGACGCAGTGTGTGTGTGTGTGTGTGTGTGTGTGTGTGTTTTATTCATAGCCAAGGTCATGGTATACTACACTAATTTGGTGGTTGTGGTGGTGGTGGAATTAGCAGAGGTGTGGAAAGGTGCTGACTGGAGTGAGCTAAATTAGGTGTGGTGAGAGAGAGAGAGAGAGAGAGAGAGAGAGGTGTGTTAATCAATTAGTCTGCTATGAATAAAAGGTTGATCATCACCACCTGCCTTGTGTTATAGGTAGCGATCTATCTACCTATCTGTCTGTCTGTCTTTCTGTCTATCTATCTATCTATTTATCTATCTATCTGTCTATCTATCTATCTGTCTACTGAGGTTGCTGTGGTGGTGAGAGGTAGTACTGGGTGACAAAGGGACGTACACTTGTAAGGCTGCTTGCTGGTGTGTGCATCACTACCATGTCATCACAGCCTCACTAATAAGACTAGAGAATAGTTTTAGTGGAGGGTGGATCGCTTGTTTCAGTACCGGCCCCCCCCCTTACCCCCCTTCCACTACTACCAGTATTACCAGACCCCCCCAATCACCACTACTACCAGCCCCTCTCAGTACTACTACTACTACTACTACTACTAATAATAATAATAATAATAATAATAATAGGTACTGGTCAATTTGGACAGGTCAGGTACCTTTAATTCCCGAGGTCGAAATAGTTAATCGTGTGTGTGTGTGTGTGTGTGTGTGTGTGTGTGTGTGTGTGTGTGTGTGTGTGTACAGTCAGTCAGTCGAAATAGTGCACGTGACCTGATGTGACCTGGCGTGACGTGACGGCGGCGTGGTTTTGACCTTGGCACTAGTAAGAGACGTACAGTATAGCCACCACCCCAGCGCCCCTCATCCCCACCCCCTCAGCCCCCTTCACGCCCAACGCACCTCGCCCATGTCATTCCGCTCGCGACTCTCCGACGATACACACACAAACAGTCCCCATCTCTCTCACACACTCTCTGCCGCTAACTACTTACATGTGTTCTTGGTATATACTCTCTACCGTTCACCCCCAGGGCACTGTTGGTCATCAGCGTACCCTCAACCCTATTCGCAGATTCCCTGATATATAGTTAGTGTATAAATACGACTTTTATACGTCCCTACCGAAAAAAATAATATCACGCTATATGCACTGCGATCCTGCCACTGCGACTGTACTATCCGACCCTAACCAGTACACACACCTCTACCTGATCCACACCAATCCACACACCAATCCACACACCACAAGTTGGATCCTAAACCCCCCCCCCCAAAACGCCTTCCATAAAACGTAACATATCGACCCAGTGCCTCAGTCTGTGCTGGTGTAGAAGAGGAAGACGTGATTATAAGAGGTGCCAGCCATCAACAGGTTAATTAGTCTACAGGTAAATTAAATAGATACCCCCGGCACCCGGAATCAGCCGCCAACAGGTACCCGGATTGCCAACAAATATCCGGACTCTGCCAACAGTACCCGGACTCAGCCAACAGTACCCAGGCTCAGCCAACAAGTACCCGGACTCTGCCAACAGTACCCGGACTCTGCCAACAGTACCCGGACTCAGCCAACAGTACCCGGACTCCGCCAACAGGTACCCGGACTCAGCTAACAAGTACCCGTACTCTGCCAACAGTACCCGGACTCACCCAACAGTACCTGGGACAACATCATTACCGTCATGTTTCATCACCTAGTGTCTCGCGTGAAGAGTGCCGCCAGGTTGGATTTCATGGTTGTGGAAGATGTAAGTATTGGCGGGAGAGACGTGTTCATTGTCTCCCTCCTTCCCTCCCTACTTGCCTCCCTCCCTCCCTCCCGACTCGCCCCCTTGCCTCCTCCCTCCCGACTCGCCCCTTGCCTCCCTCCGGCTCGCCCCCTTGCCTCCCCTCCCCGACTCGCCCCTTGCCTCCCTCCCGACCTCCCCTCCCCTCGCCCCTTGCCTCCCTCCCGACTCGCCCCTTGCCTCCCTCCCGACTCGCCTTTGCCTCCCTCGACTCGCCCCTTCCCTCCCTCCCGACTCGCCCCTTGCCTCCTCCCCCGACTCGCCCCCTGCCTCCCTTACTCTTGACGTAAACACCTTGCTGCCAAGAGATTTAATTAAAATTATTATTATTTAATCAGGTTTAGAAAATAGAATGGAATTTTTTACTGTTACATTCATAATAATAATAATCAAGTGTGGCAGGTGTGTTGGAGTGTAATATACAAGCGAGTGTTTTAAAGTGTATACATCATCCTGTTAGTGAGGCTTAGTAAACAACCTGGACAATTCTGAACTCTTACGAATGACCAGTTCAACCTTGTATCCCGGGTGTTGAAGGTTTTGTGTGTGTGTGTGTGGAGGGAAGGATTCAGACCGTGACACTAATCCACACCGCGTCCTTCAGAGGTGTCCTTCAGCACTTATTGGCACACACACACACACACACACACACACACACACACACACACTCACATATACACACACACAGGTAGGGAGGATAAGGTGTGTGTGTGTGTGACGTGGTGTTCGGAAGGGGTAAGCTGAAGCCGTATAGAAAGCCTCTGTTTTTTTTTTTTTTTCCTTGTCGTTAGTAAGACTGATAGGTATGTATGTATGTATGTATGTATGTATGGTAGTAGAAGTAGTAGTATATTTCAAGGTAAATAAGTATCACTATCAGTACACATAATTTAACAAGTGTCACTATTCACACATGCTATAAGCTAACAGGTGTATAATTAGCCCACAGGTGTAATAAGTCAACAGGTGTCATTAATCGCATGCTCTAAGTTAACAGGTGTAGTTAACAGGTGTCACTAATCACATGTAACGAGCCGACAGGTGTAATTAACCCCCAGTTTTCACTAACAATAACTATTTTTACTTCAGATTATCAACAGTAGCCCAACTCTCAAAGTGACCAGACATCGAGTTCTAAGGAGTTGGAAGTGAGTAATCCCACTCATCCCTCTCACATGGTAGTGTTATAATCCCACTCATCCCTCTCACCTAGTAGTGTTATAATCCCACTCATCCTTCTCACCTGGTAGTGTTATAATCCCACTCATCCCTCTCACATGGTAGTGTTATAATCCCACTCATCCCTCTCACATGGTAGTGTTATAATCCCACTCATCCCTCTCACATGGTAGTGTTATAATCCCACTCATCCCTCTCACCTGGTAGTGTTATAATCCCACTCATCCCTCTCACCTGGCAGTGTTATAATCCCACTCATCCCTCTCACCTGGTAGTGTTATAATCCCTTTCACCTGGTAGTGTTATATAATCCCACTCATCCCTCTCACATGGTAGTGTTATAACCCACTCATCCCTCTCACATGGTAGTGTTATAATCCCACTCATCCCTCTCACCTGGTAGTGTTATAATCCCACTCATCCCTCTCACCTGGCAGTGTTATAATCCCACTCATCCCTCTCACCTGGTAGTGTTATAATCCCTTTCACCTGGTAGTGTTATAATCCCACTCATCCCTCTCACCTGGTAGTGTTATAATCCCACTCATCCCTCTCACCTGGTAGTGTTATAATCCCACTCATCCTTCTCACCTGGTAGTGTTATAATCCCACTCATCCCTCTCACCTGGTAGTGTTATAATCCCACTCATCCCTCTCACCTGGCAGTGTTATAATCCCACTCATCCCTCTCACCTGGTAGTGTTGTTATAATGACTATAATACAACTACTACTACTTGTCTACTAATACTACTACTATTAAAACAGTAATGCCAATAACAATAATGATACTACTACTACTACTAGAAATAACAATAATAATAATAATAATAATGATAATAATAATAATAATAATAATAATAATAATAATAACAATAACAATGTGTTGACCATAGGTTGTGTTGTGTTAGGGACGGATGGTATTAGAATGTGGTGTAAACAGTGGTATGTGTGTCGCTCCCGTTCACAGAGATGTCGCCCCTCGCGTCAGATACCTAAGGAAGAAGATGGAGATGAAATCATTCCCAGAAGATGAGCAATACAAACGTTTTAAATGAGGACCTCCTGACGATTCTCCTCTCCTCGTTGCTTCCCTCATCGTTATCGCCATCATCATCATTATCGTGTCTCTGTGTGTCTTATCATCATCAAACATCATTCATTCATTTACACGATACCTGTCATTACTATAAATTACATTTTTCACTTCCTGCTTCTCGTTGCTCCATAACAGCTCACCTCATCCTCACAACTCATTCTCACTCCTCAACTTACTGTAAACAAACCCTCACTTCGTCTTAACACTCATCAGCCAGCTAGTGTAGTTAGTGTTCATGTTCACAACGTCGTAAGTGAACGTGAGGTGAAATATGCGACCCCGAACGACCTCGCTGACCAGAATAGATAGGTTCCCACCCAGTTGTCCTAATGCAAGGCTTTATACACACCAACAATGGCTTCTTATCGTCTATAGTTTTTTGAATCACTTATAGTTTTCACATTTCTTTTTACACGAGAAAGAATCATGTGATCTTGGTATATATATATATTTTGTGACTCATATTGTGGTTCCTTGATTCCTCTGTATCTTTTAGCTCAATATTAATATGTTTAGGGTTTATATTATGAAAGATAAAGAGTAATAATTGTAGTGTTTCAGATGAGGACTACACCTGGACTAATGAGCCAGATCTGGTGGTGTTTAGCAAGAGCCAGCGTTTTAACTGGTCCTGTTTTAGATGTTATTTTCGTCAGCGTTTTAGCTGTATAGAAAAATATGGAATCACACGAAGATTAGACATCCCCAGCTTATATCACATGAAGATTAACCACCCTAACGCTTCTTGGATTGGGGTTAATTAGCATTATTCATCCTCAGGTGAAATAAACTGAGGTGTCTAATCTTCATGTGAGACGGAAAATGATGGACAAACACTCCAACACTCCCCAGTACATATAGCCTGAGGTCTGTCTAGTCTCAGAGTACTGGTGGTACAGTGGGCAGTAAGTACACAGCAGTTGTCAATGAGTGTCTGTGATGGAATGGTCAGTTTTGTATCAAGCCTCAAGGCTCCCATTACACACTTCAAGGGTAATGGTACAATGTTTATTAGACCTACAGCGACTCTTTAAGGTTCATTTGACTGTATCTGATGTTAAAACTATACCCACCTGGTTGAGTTTAGCTAAATTAAAAAAAAAAGTTAAATAACTACAGTGAGACTACATTAACTGGTTAAGGTTTATTTGAGGAATTTGTTATGGTATTTAAAGTAATCCCAAGGAAACGTATCTAGTTCAGATAGAATCTTATTGTATTTTGACAACTACCGAGACACCAGAAGTCGCAGTGTTCATTTTGAAATTCATCGGACCCATTCGTGAAGATACTCGCTTAATTGTGTGTACATCCTCACCGACTATGCTGTTGTACTGTACTATGTTGTAAAATAAACGGTTTTCGGAATCATTAGTTAATTCCATTTGTGTATATGTATGTAACAATATGTATTTACCATCCTATTGTAAATGACTTGGAATTACTGTGAATTATTTTTTAATTTAAGAAACCATTTTTTACAATTAATGATAATGCTTTTCATTCTTCCTCCTTGGCCATGTTGGGTCCAGGTTGCGTCTATGTTCCCGTAATGAGACGATCACAAGTCACAACGACAGACCGTTACCTACCTCCGCTACTATCGTCACCCCCACACTTGTAATACAGGTGCACGTCAGTTACTAATTTATCATCATTGCCGCCAGAATACACATGTAATTTTTGCCATGTATACAGTGCAGGTATACAATTATTAAGTCGATTTTCATTAGCTCGTATATATCTCACCACCGGTAGAATGTCTTCATCTAAAGTTAGGTACAGTACTAACTTTAGGGAGGTGTTAGTTAACCTCTTTGACGCCACTGTGTTGAATTTCACTGCAAAGTCTTTAAGTTTTCAGTAACAGTTGCTTCAATGCACACTCGCATCGAATTCTTGGACAATTATGTGCTAGTATTATTTTGCCCTACACCTGAACAACACCTAAACAAAATCCTAAACCATTTATTTAAGTCACCGCTCTTGTGTTTGTTTTCTATGCTGATGGTGTTCAATGTAAAGTCACCTCGAAGGGGAAACTCCAGAAAAGAAAATACTAGGTTGCTATTTATTAGATAACCAGCGACTGGATACACAAAACTATTTAAGACGTTCTATCTCCCAGAGTTGGTTATAACTTGAGCTATGACTCGATACTCCAAACAAAATTGGTCACACAACATTTGTTTATGGAGTTAATAACAGCATATGTGTTCGACCGTGCATTACGCATGGAAAGAAGGTACAAAGACCTGTTGGATCCTTTGTATGTCATTGATAAACATTTGATTCGTTACTATCGATTTCCTCGCCAATAAATTATACGGTAATGCAAGGAGATAAGACTGCATATACAACGCAGAACAAAGTGTGGAAGTTTTCAAGGTATAATTGGAGATACTACAGGATTGACCCAAGCCGGTGTAAGGAGGATCATTAACCTAGTATAAATTTTCGCCTGACCATCAACATCACGATATATTTTTAAGGGACGAGCACTACCGGCGTATATTCAAATAAGTAGAGTAATGGTATCTGAAGTGTCTATATAAGTATTGGATGAATAATGATAGTTATAATACTGAAATAATAATAATAATTTTACCAGAACATTATACCACAGTTCACAAGTCCTATCTACAGCTCAACACCCGAAAAACGCGGCACCTCACTGTACTCTATATTACCCTGTTTGCTTTTTGTCAGATTACTGTAATAAGCGGCCAGTCTATTATCTATTACATATCTAAACCTGTGCCAGTGTTGGTCAAATCTGGTCTTAAAAGAGCTTACACTTGTTGCTGTCATAACATTCACAGGTAGAACATGACAAGATTTCACAAATTTTACTCTAAAGAAGTTAGCAGTTAGCTGTGACAGCTTTCTACACTGATAGCTTCTTTAATTTGAGGCTGGGAAACGCGGGGCCTGTTCGTAATTTGTTTAATGTCTTACATTGTGGGAAGGCGGTAGCCATTTAGCGACGACTCATTTTGGCTTGACCGACCAATCACAGCGATTTGAGAAGATTAGGTTAGGTCCTTTCCTCAGCTGTGTCATGGGTGAGGTGGGGGGGGGGCTTAACTCGAAAACGGGCGGTTAGCACCAGAAACGAAGGTCAGATTCGTTCGAACCGAAAGAACTAAGAAAAACGTATTTTTTATGGAAAAATCGAAACCTGGCTACTATCATAAATTTACCTCGATTTTTATGGATGTGTATGTAAGTGTGTTGCTTCAGAACCATTGGTATTTTACCGGGAAACGCGGCAATTTTTTGTAGCTTAAATACTGTAGATCACATGAAGATTAGTCCCACCTGCTATTGTGCCCCAAGATAACCATCCTTATGCTAACCTAACGTAATTGTAATATAACCAAGCCTATTATAATCTAATCTAACTTAACCTAACCAAACCAACCCCACTCCTAGGTAGCATTTGGGTGTTTAATCATCAGGTGAAATAAACTGGAGGGCAATTTTTTTAGGTAATCCCAACTTTTTGTTTTCCATAATTTATCTCCATAGCATCTCACAGTTTACACAGTTGATGGCCCTAAATATCAACATTTCTCATATATTTCTTAAGCACTCTAACACAATATGTGGATTTGATCATTGATGTGAATTTCTGCCCATAGAATGAGTTTCTGACAGTAGTAATTATCATAACATCACATCATTACAACTGCCATGAGCTTTACCTTTAGCAAGTTTTACAGCAGTAGCGATTACAATGTTGAGGAATGCTCGAGTAAAGATACATATAGATGCAGCAAATTATTGTATTAAAGATGTGTGTGTGTGGTGGGGGTATGGAATCATTAGTAGTCTGTTTTGCTGTGTATTTCACCGCCTAACGGGATAAAACTTAATTCCATTTTTGCCTGTTGTACACTTATGTGTTTTGCTGCATAACAAAATAGCCTTCCTGAATAAGACCCTCTACTTAATGAAGGTGATTTGCGTTCGTGGTAAAATAATTATCTTAGAACTGAGATGACTGCATAGGCTGGTGCTTCTTTCTTCTCGTTGGACACAGTAAAGGTCATCTTGGTGTGTTTCAACGAATTTATGGGTTGTGAGTCACCGGGTCATCTGTTGCTGGCATGTTAGAATTATTGTCACTTGTTTATTGCTGTTGCCGTGTTCGTAAAACCCATTAAGACTGTGGTCTATTAGAACTGGGGCCCATTAGTCTCTCTCTCTCTCTCTCTCTCTCTCTCTCTCTCTCTCTCTCTCTCTCTCTCCTGCCAGCCATTGTTCCCGTGTGGTTCTCCCCCTCTCCTCTCCCTCCACCTGAGTCAGCAGGAACCTCGCCGGCCGCGCTGACTAGATTAAGGGGAGCAACGTCAGCAGTCAGCGGAGTGGGCGTCAGCACTCCCCAGGCCAGGTTGCCCCCCCCTCCTCACCACACACACACACACACACTGGTATTTGAGGAAGTATTTTTTGTTAGAATTTGTGAGAAAGTGGATTTTTTGAGAATTTTCCAAGTATCCAGTTTCTGAGTATCAGTTTTTGTAAGGAAGGTTAGTTTTTGAGGAGGATATTATCAAGCCTTAAACTTCTTATAGGAAAATTGGATCTATCGTTTGAGTATACTGTTTATTGAGGGTGGTTCTTCTCACTTACTGTACCCCCCTCGCTTCTCACCACTACCTCCTTATTCCTCACCACCGCCTCATCACTTCTCACCACCACTTCCTCACCACCACTGCCTCACTCACCACCACCACTGCCTCACCACCTACCACTACCTCCTTATTCCTCACCACCGCCTCATCACTTCTCACCACCACTTCCTCACCACCACTGCCTCACTCACCACCACCACTGCCTCACTCACCACCACCACTGCCTCACCCCTCACCACCTTCATACCTCCACTATATCAGGAAAACATATCTTATTTTAAGTCGATTAAGTACATTTTTTCTAGTTGACATCACTGCACAGTCTCCGGGTAAGTCCACTGCGGTGACTCTCTTATCATCGCGTGAGGAGAATACTTGACGTTTCATAAAATTGTGTTTACCTTGCCATTGTTGGAAGGTTTTCATACATATTTATGCACAAGGTGACAATTTTAAGCATGCACGGTGTTGGGGGGGGGGGCTGCTGGTTGTTATGCTGAGTAAGACTGTGCTGAGTAAGGTTATGCTGAGATGTTGGTGTTGTTTAATGAGGCGTTGAGAGTGTGTGGGGACGTCCTTGCCGCCACGAGCCATTGTAATTGAAGGTAAGAGGGTCATGACACTCAAGGAAGATATTTATGCATCACAGGATCTGGAAATCTCGATGGTATACCAGTGTTGAATATTCCTCGTAACTAAGAGACGATTTAGCGCATTTATCTGGCTCGTTTAAACTAACACACTAGAATAACGTCCATAATAGCATCATTTCATCAGGACTCGACTAGATAATCTTCACTTGGGGTAATGGTTAAAACTAATTGGGAACCATTGTCATAAGGTGAAATAAGCTGAGGGTGCTAGAATTCATATGATTTTAAGTTTCTTCGGTTTGAGGGAGGGGAGGGAGGGGGGTGTTATCTATTGGGTGAAAGGGCCAGTTAAAAATCTAGCAATCGAAGGGTTTGGCGAGGGAATAGTGTGGCTGGCTGGCTGGAAGGTGTGGGACAGGAGTGAGGTTTGGGGGGATGAGCTCTGGACCTTATAGCATTCAGACATATTCTTTGGTGGGCTCTTAAATATGCACAGGGCGGGAATCGATGGAAAGACTGACCCCCTATTGGAGAGGATTATGGTGAGAGAGAGGTCGTGGTTCTCAATGATTGTTGGTGTGTCTGTAAGTTACCGATCCATTCCCTGAGGTCCAATAGTCTAGTCATCTCGAGAAAACAGAGACTCGGTGTAATGTTGCTTCTGTGTGGTTTTGGATGTTATCTCAAGGCTTCAGAATATGTCCGCTTGCTTGTTATGTGAAGAATATCAGTGTCAGGTACTTGATGAGTGTGTATATGTGGTAGTATACAGGTGGAGTTGACACGTGTAGCTGTCATAAACATTTGCTGTGTAAGATAATGTCGGGTAGGAAAGTTTTGCGCTGCTAACAGGGAGGACAGCGTCAGTGGGTCACAGCCTGCATGGTGTACTTGGCAGGTGTTTTAATGTTTATATGTCGGTCTGACGGTCGCTCACTCATTGCTCTGTCACCGTCGGCGGGTACTGGGTAAGCCAATGTATAGGTCTCTTAAATATACCTGAACCTGCACCAGCTTTTCACGTTCCCTCTCCCTCCCTTCAACCTCTCACCTGGCCTTCAGCCTCTCACCTGCCCTTCATTTTCTCTCTCCTCCCTCCCCCCCCCCTCCAGCCTCTCTTCTGCCCTCCACGTTCCCTCACCATATGTCCAGGGTGTCCTCAATACCGCCTCTCTCACCTCCTGCTTTATGATCCATGAGATCCTGGACCCTTTCAAGCAGTCTCTCTCTCTCTCTCCAGTATTGATAGATATCCATTTAAAAAGTTCACATTTCCTTCACTCTGCAGACAACATGTGCCTCGCTTCTGATCACTGTATTAACACTTCTGCTTTAGTCATCAAGAAAATGTTTTAAAAGTGATAGAAACTAAAGCGTATTTCCCAGTATCTACCCCGAGAACTGGTGACAGTTACTGGGGTGAGGCAGGCAGACAGAGAGACAGGTACTACTGAGGACTGGGGAGGGAGGGGTAGGTACAGTAGGAGGTGAGGGTAGGCTGGTACTGGGAGGTGAGGGCAGGGTACAGTACTGGGGAGGTGAGGGTAGGCAGTGCACTGGGAGGTGAGGGTGAGGTAGTACTGGGAGGTGAGGAGGTGCAGTACTGGGAGGTGAGGGTAGGTACAGTACTGGGAGGTGAGGGCAGGTACAGTACTGGGAGGTGAGGGTAGGTACAGTACTGGGAGGTGAGGGTAGGTACAGTACTGGGAGGTGAGGGCAGGTACAGTACTGGGAGGTGAGGGCAGGTACAGAACAGGGATCTCTCAGAATCAAGCCAGGAAGAAGTATATTATCTAGGATCATACGCCTGTACAGTACACAGCCTCATTTGATCTCACACTACCATTCATATGACCTGTGACGCTTACTATCATTATTTTTGCTTGAGTTTAATTACCCCAGTGCCCCGCCTTTCCTGACTTGACTGTTGGATGTTTATCGTGCGTGAAGGATGTATTTTGAAATTGAAGAGATAAATAGATAGATATTATGGAGAATTCGTCTACAAATTTAATGTGTTGGGTGTTGTCCTTCGTGATCGACCCCTACACCTGGTGCTTCTGCTTACCTCAGCGTGTTACTGTTTAGGGCATCCAGTAGAGAGGATCTGGGCACTAGTGAGACGTTTTTAATACAGCGAGAGAAGGGAACTCGTGAGAGGATTTATGAAGCGATGGAGAGCGAAGACGAACACAGAAAATCTCAGTGAAAAATGTTGGAGGAGGAGGAGTAAGCAGTTTTTTTTCCTATCTCCTTCCCTTCTTTTCAAACTCTCACTCTCTTTATCTCCTCTCTCCCATTTTTCACCTTGTTTGTTTTTATAGTTACGGTATATACCCTTTCAATATCTGAACCCCTCTCGCCACCCCTTATATTTTTTTTCGTGGCGTGAGAGGGGATGTCTGTCTGTAGGTTCCCCCGCCCTCCCTCCTCCTCGCCACCTACCTCACCCCTCCCCCCCCCACACACCTAGGGTCAACAGAACTAAGAATGGAGAACTGGCTCAAGAGTGAATCCCTTCCTTATCCTGCGTTACGTCTTCTCTCTCAAGTTTATCACTGGTGTCCTCATTCTTCGTTCGTATATCTTGCCTGATAAAATTGTGAATGCTAAAACTATTTTGTACCGTGAGGTCTTAAGTGAACGTGCATAATTCTTCAGCTTGGTAGATATTTGGTTTTGTCTATAAATTTCACCACCGTTGGCGCCTCCAGTTATCAATAATATTTTTGAGCGTCACTTCCTTGTGATGACGAGGCTGGGCCGAGTGCTGCCTCCCCTCACTAACACGGTCATCAACATCACCAACAACCTCACCCTCACTGCTGACGCTGCACCGCCTGCTCGCTCCAGCCAAGTCTTCATTATCGCAACTTTGCATTATTCACGTTTTCCTGCAGGTTTATAGATAGTGAAAATCAACACATGTAACACCTCTAGATATTTTGTTATTCAGAATATATCAGGAGATGTTGTGAACTGTTTTTCTTAATGTTTGTGGTGATTCATCAAGGTTCATCGATTTCTCCATTAACATTTTTATCTGGCACATGGGAAAGTGAAAATATATGGAAACGGTTCAGAAACGAAAGGAAGGAATCGGTCTATATAGTCTTGACTTTGGTCTCCGCGCCAATGCTGAGTAGTGCAACAATTTGGTCCAGTCAGCAGTTCTTCTCACACTGCCAGACGCAGGAGCCAGCCTTAATCAATAATATATGTGCTTTATTTGGTGTCTCCTGAAGATGGTAAACTATGCTATAAATTTTCAATATAAATCAATTAAAATTCTGTATGACACTCGAGCAGCAAAAGTAAGCGAGAGAGGAACAGGTTGAGTGTTGCAGGACGTTTCCTGGTAGCGGCGCGGCAACTCCATAGTGGTAGGGCAGGGGTCCCCTCGACCGCCCTGTTCAGATTCATTTTGTTCCCTCTGACGTGTGATATACCATCCCTCCAGTTATTGACGTTCACATCATCTGTCGTGATAATGTGAATGTTGAAACTAACCGCTGCACCTGTCTTTTCATACCGTCAGTACAGTATACAGTATATTATATCGGTGAACTAGAAATACGAATAAAAAGTTAAGAGCTGAACCAAGTTACATGTACACCTAAGATAAGAAAAACTAAAGGGAAAAACTGACTTGCTAAATAGCATTATAATGATCACGCGGAAGCTTAAACGAAACGAAAGAGGTAAGATTATATTGATATTTACTGAATAAACCAAACCTCATGTAAGTGTTAGAATGTCAGTGTATTATTATTAGTGATAGTAGTACTTTTTATCATAACTATTACTGTATAATTAATTTTATAGACTCATCCTTTACAGGTAGATGTACCTCGTTCACTAGATGTACCGGTAACCCAAGTATTTAACTGAAGCCAATCAAGTGTACTGGTGTTAATAATAAGTTAACTAATTTTACTTCCCTTTTTCAGTATAATCGTCATACTGTATATGGATTCAGCATGTGTATAGACATTGCAGGTACATATATATTCATACACCGTGCAGGTACACAAAAATATACCGAGACAGTGCAGGTATACAGTAATGGTAAACAGGTGTCTATACAATAATGGTTCTCAATTACACAAGTTCTGGCCGCTACACTGACACAGCCGTGACTACAATACCCACTACCCCTCCCCCCCACCCAATAAAGTACCCTTATTAATTGTATTTTCCAGAACATTTAGTCGAGACCGTTTCTGTATCCATGTATTTTATGTATACTCATGTATATGTGTTCACCTGCGTTACCTCCCGAAAAACATCAGTATACGATACCCCCTAATTGAGTACCTGTGTCCTGGAGGTTACAGCACAGTTAATAGTGGTGTATGTCAGGTGTGTCTGTAAGGTAATCATAATGCAAAGCTAATTAGTTGTTTGTGTGTTATGTCATTGGATTTATTTGTCGGGTAATGATACGTTGTCTTAATTTCTCCCCGGCCCCCCCACTTGACACCCTTACACTTGACACCCTAACACTTGACACCCCAACACTTGACACCCTAACAAAACTATCAAGGACAATGGAGAGATCCTACACATTCCACTGGTCTCCTTCCCTCGGCATGGCCATCTCTAGTGGGTGGCCATCTCTAGTGGGTGGCCATCTCTAGTGGGTGGCCATCTCTAGTGGGTGGCCATCTCTAGTGGGTGGTCAGCTCTAGTGGGTGGTCAGCTCTAGTGGGTGGTCAGCTCTAGTGGGTGGCCATTAGATAAATAAGGTTAGATTAATCTCATCATAAACTAATAGTGTTACATAATTTGAAATCTCAGTACAGTTCTCTCATCAAATTGGATTGCAAATTTTCCAGCAGACAATAATATAGGATGTCCCAGAATAATGTCCCTCCCTCCCTCCCTCCCTCCCTCCCTCCCTCCTTGCCTGCTCCCTGCCTCCCTTCCTCGCTGCTCCCTGAGACACTGTGGGTTGGAGGGATGGAGGGAGGAGGCAGGGAAACACTTGGGGTAAAAAAAAAAGGGTTTTGTTTGAATTTCATATAAAGGTGCTACTTTACATGCTGATAGAAGATTTGGGTCCCGTGTCTCAAGAATTAGGATGGCTTGTGGCCTCTCTCTCTCTCTCTCTCTCTCTCTCTCTCTCTCTCTCTCTCTCTCTCTCTCTCTCTCTCTCTCTCTCTCTCCTAACATTTCTGTAACCCTATCATGCTGAACAACTGTCTTGTTTAATTATAGTATTGTGGATTCCTTATTCATTCTTCTCTTTATCCAGTATTCTTTAATCCCTGCAATTATCTCGGTATTCACAGTTATTTCTTTTGGCGGCTTTGTAATGCCATGAGATGAGAGGACACCACAGGTTGGATAGGTTTCCTCCACACATGCATCAATGTCACTTCCTCTCAGACTGACCCTCACCATACCTCCCTACTCTGGATAACACATCGCTTGTACAGTATAAAGAACAAACTTCATACTGGGTTGTCTTTGTATCAGTGCGGGCATTAATACATGCTTTGATATTATTATTTATTATTTACATGTGCAGTACATACACATACTGTTTTTATGGGTGTACTGTATGTAGCAGCATGGCCTAAATTTTCTTAATGTTATTGTTACAGGTTGGCGGATGTCCTAGTTGAGTGCTGGAGAGAGTGTGTGCTATGCAAGCCTGCAGTGGAAGGAGTTGTAACTGCAGTGCCAGGTGTAAGATAACACCTGTTGGAGGGTTTAGGGGTGGTACTGGAGGTTGTAAAACTAGAATTCTTAACTTTAAAACACCAGGAAGATATAATAGTAAGAGGTGCTGTGATGAGAAGCACCCAAGCTGTTGTAACATCCAATCTTTATGTGGCTCTCCCTTCCAAAGTGACAAAGAGTTCCGTGGGAAATGGTTGTTTTGATGTTACTCTGAGTGATGGAACATCTGGTACTTATGTGAAGAAGGACACCCCTGACGGGATTACTGCCTCACCTCCACAACCCACTGAGTGTTCACACAGTGGAAGCACAGACAAACTTGCCCCTAATAGCTCTGTTACTGAGATCCAAGACACAGGTGTAGAGATGCCTAAAGCTGATGGTCCGAGTGAGGGAGCAGAAATGGCAGGGCATCCAGGCATGATGCGGGCAGGTGGACGGCACCAGCTCGTGGATATTCACGGATTAGCAGTGTTCCTTCGGCAGTCTACCCGTTGCTTGTCTTGCCGTGCTGCCTGCTGTCTCTATGTTACTGGTACTATCTCCGCCCAACTGGCTGCTGTCACACAGGTAATGACAGTCATTTTGGCTTTCTTCTTTATTTCAAATACACCAACACAAACAAGTGCTTCTTTAATTTTCTCTCTCACAGTATTTTGATATTCATAGTTTTAATTCATGAGATTTAGAGACCACTAACTTTTGTACAGTAGCTATTGCTGGTTAATAGGCAATAAATTTGCACCTTGTACCCAAATAGGTTTTGACTGTGGCTATTATCTTCGTAATATTTTGTTACCAGGTAAAGATCACCTGCCAGAAGTGTCATTACACTGCCTCTCAGACGCTCTCCCGGCCCTCAACTGCTCCGGACGATCAAGCCTCGCCACCCCTTCCTGCACCTCTACAGCTCACTCCACCTTCAGATAGCCATAGTCCTCTCCAGCTTACTGCAACTACTGACTTGCGCCCACCACTTCCGTATTCAACATCTTCACACCAAAACCCACTCAATCTACCCAAAGAGGAACAAACTTCTCCAGTTCTGCCAGTTAGACCCAGAGTAAAGGGAGCGACTGTGTGGCCGCCTCCATCATGTGCGATCCCTTCTAGCGGACCTTCCAACAAAATGTCAACATTGTTGCCTCTACAGTCCATACCTTCCCTGGATGGAGTTTGTGTGAAAGAGGAGATGCAGACATCACATCCAAGTACCAGCTCCCTCCACACCAACAATTCACCAGCTGCACTTGTAAATGCTCAGAAAATCCTTTCAACCCTAGACTGGCATGGGCTGAGACACAGTCAGAGCCCCCCTACTTCACCTCCAACCTTGCCTGATCACCCAGTCAGTGAGTATTACTCCTTGGTGGCTTAACTGAACATGTCAGGTTTCAGGAGGAAGTGGTTCCCTACAATTAATTCCCGTGAAATATTTTTAATTATGTAGCATTGTGCCTGACTTTTGGATTAAACAGTTCATACAGGGCATTATAACCTTTGATGCAGTAATTTAGTTGTATTTAAAGATTTTTACGTAATGTTGACTTCAGTTTGGTAATGTATGCTAATGTGTTGGTTGAGGTTTACGTGCTAACATGACAGAACTACTATTTTGTGAAGATTAGGCCAAAGTGACTAACTGCCCAAGCAGCTAACTAGCCAATCAGTGGCAAAGAGGATAAAGTTAAAAGTAAAATAGATGGTCTTTTACATAGGCTAAATTTATGCTCTTACCTGACTACCAAAATGTACCTTTGACATTCCTCTTCCAGGGACATGAATTGAAAGCACAGCTGCGACAAAATTCCCTGGATATTTTAACATATTTTATCAGATTTTTCTTTGTACTGTACTAAGGAATGTTTCTCTCCATATTGTGGCTCCAACATAATATGCCAGATATTGTCAAATGTTCAAGGAATTTTGTCTGCAACTGTACCTGTGGTAAATGGGTAAATTGCCTCTGGATTGTTTTATCATTGAACTCTGTCAATGTTTCTTTACTTCCGTAGAGATAAGTCCGAGCCTACAGAGGAGCATGGCCCCTACAAACTACAGGAGCTTCTTTCCATGCAGCATGAGTCACTGTGGGATGAGCAGCAACACAGACACCAATGTGGCCACAGGTCTGAACCTCACCAATGAATTGGGAGATCCAAAGGAAAGTCTACAGATGGGAAGCTCACTGCCAGGACTCTCCACCGACCTTCACCTCGGTCACCTCCACAAGACACAGACAGGGAGCTTTTTGTCCCAGGTACCTTCTCCTTTATCTTCTTCCTCTTCTTCATCCACAAGTTCCACCATCAACCCATCTTCCACGTCAACATCCTCATTTCTCTCTCCTCCAGCATCACTGTTTCCTAATACTGCTGCCTCTTTACTCAAACTACTCTCAACTTCAGTGTCGTCTTCACCCCCTATGCCATTTACGTTGCCGCTGTACTCGGCTCTCTTTCAGCAAAGTCTCATTCCTGAACCTCTGCTGGAAACACAAGAGATCAAGAGGAAAGTAGAGAAAGGTTTGGAGGAATCTTTACGCTTAGTAAGACACATGATTCAGCAAGGCTCTACGTCGCAGTCCTCTCCAACAGCAAGCGAAGAGAAGCAGGTAACAGATGATAAAAATGCACAGGATTGTTTGCCAAATCTACCAGTACCTCTACCGACAGATAGCACAGTTTTGAAAAATGTTGGGAAAGCTTCCGGTAACACCAGTTTGCAGAAGAGTGAACGGGGAGATTTTTATGATGACAAATTTTCAAAACGTGGTCTAAGAAATTTCCATGAAGAGACAAGTGATTCAACAAATGACAAATGTTTATTAAAACTGATTCCTAACAGTAACAGGAATAAATATATAAAGAAGAATCGTTCAAAAAAGCGATCAAAGTTGAAAGGAAGAGGTAAAAAGCGGTCACGTAAGGAAGAAAAGGAACACACTGATAGGAAAAGACTTAAATTCTTAACAAAACACAATAACCATGGAGAATCCTCGACCTCAGCAAATGAAGAGAACAAGGATGTGACGGTCGCTTCACAAAAATCTTTACCTGTAATTCACGTTCGTCTCGTTGGATCTAATTACACTGTGCAAAACGATAAAGAAATGGGACATAATTCAACCATACCAGGAGAACACACATCACTTGGCCCCAGACAAGAGTGCAGACAGTCTTCAAATGACAAAAATAACCACCAAAAACATAATTTGGAAGAGAAACAAAGGTCTCACGGTAATATCTTGCCAAACAAAAAGTCCGAGAGTTCTCGTCAGGGAACGGCTCCCAGATGCAAATTACGAATGGACCATCTCCAAGGTGTGAGCACATGTCACTGTTCTAGTGCTGGCTCAGAGCTTGCCAGGCACTTAGGTTATGAGTGTTCCTTGAATTTGAATTGCAAATGCTGCCCCTCTGCATTAGGAAGTCTCAGGAAATCACACAATCCAAAAAGGGCATTGGACGGACGTCAAGTTAGACAACACCGTCAGAGGAGTGAGTTGGGTCCTTCTGTGATCCAGACACATGCCGTTGAGGCCGAGGCTGGAGAAACAGCAAATACTGATAACAGTAAAGCAGATGAACACAGAAAAATAGACATATCTGACGATATTATTGAAAAATTAGAAAAAAATATTAAAATAGTTATGCGTAAAAACAAGGTAAAAATGGCGATAAAATCCTTAATGGAGAAAAATGCACAAAAGAGTACCAGAGTTCAGTCACACGCAGGAAATAATGCAGTAGATGAGGGTGAGATGGGCAGCTGTAGAGACATTCAGGGTGACGTGAGAGAGAGAAACTACTGCCTTCAGGGAGACGGCACCAATACATCTTGGAGATTCCACGATCTCATCTCAAGTGAATCTGACTCCAGTTCAGACACAGACTCAACGGACGGAAAACTCTTCATCGACACGGATAACTAATGTGTGTGTGGAGATATGCTGAGAGAGGATCCTGTATGGTGTGCGATGGTATATGAAATGTTTTGCAAATACAGTACAGTAACCGATAAATAAAGTACTCGGCTAAAACATGCAGGGAGAATTTACGGTGTACAGTATGTCATATGGAAGCTGTATTATCAATTCGTTTAACCTGATGACTTACATGTTCTTTAGTTTCTGGTGTAGAATGCAAAGACAAAAACATATTTTTCTAGCTACCATATTTTTCCTCTTGTTATTATGGTGGATAGGTGACCTTATATGTAGGTGTGGTGTCATGTATCACCCCCTATGATAGCTTGGGGCCGAGATGTGATAAACTATACTTCTAAATAAGACTGGTGTCCTAAGTCATGCAGTTAAAACATAGGTACTGTATCCTATCTATATTCAGTCTTTATTTCCATTATGTGATAGAGCAGTGAGTGTTGCTGGGTGGATTGGGGTATTAATCACAGCTCCTTAGTACTGTACTGCCGTGTTTGACCATGGTTGTGTTGCTTTCAATGCCATAATTTGGTGTGATGGTTGATTTAATATTACAGTACTACTAGATGGATGAAATGTTAGCCACACAGTCGAGCCATTTGTCTGAGTGCTGATGTTTATTATCCAAATACTGGTTTATAGTACAGTACTGCTGCTGCTATAGTTCAGTAAGTTGTGCTGTTCATGGTTCAGTATTAACAGGTACAGTACAGTGTTAAATGTAAAGAGTCCTCTTTGGAGCATAAAGTCTTACATTTTCACTGTACGTATACAGTATTTTAGTTGTCAACTTACTCGTAGGTCAGGCGGCTACTCATCTGGGCTCTCACTGTCAGGAGATGCTTGGCACGTTTAGGTTTCTGAATGTTCCTGGTCATATAACAGTGCTGGTGTAGCTCAGCCTTAAAACAGTTCACACCTGGTATTGTCTGGTTTTTAAGTTTGTGGTTTAGTTTTGATGATAGGTTAGATGTGGGTCAGAGAAAATGCTATTATAATCTTGGTTGGTGCTGGTAGTACAACTCGATAGTATTTAACCCCTTCACTATGGGGACGCCACATTTAGCATCTTATTTGGCTAATGCCAGATGATTTTATTCAGTACAGAGGGGACTCCATACACAAGGGATTAACATATTGATTTCCATATAATGACTGATGCTACTCATACAGATTTAGAGAGAGAGAGAGAGAGAGATGCATTGTTTCTAGTACTGTACACAACTAATATTATATCCAGTTTTTGCTGTCTGGGGATACAGTACAGTATAGGCAATAATGATAAAATGCCACTACAGTATTATGGCAGTGTATAGAGAGGCTGTCACACTAGACAATGCAGTAGTATTAGCATTATTTTAGTACAGTACATTAATAGATATTCTCTTACCACAAAGGTAGAGTATTATGAAGACAGCTGATATTATAACCCTTTGTGTTTTTATACTAGTGATAGTAACAATATAAATTTAGTACATTATGTATTTAGTCGACTCACAAACCCTGGTATTATTGTCTTGGGTACGAATTTAACTATTAGGTATTGATTTTAGAACCTGTACATAAGTAATTTCTGATTTTTTTCCCATCGAATAAGGGAACCATCTTGCAAGAATTTAATTAACAGAAGCATATTGAAGAAAATAATAATGAAATGACCAGAAATAAATGTTTGGATTAGAATTAGGAGTTGTACGCTTGGCATCCATGTCTCTGATGGAGATACTGTACTCTTGTGTGTTGGTCGGACCACTTGTACATTTGCCTAAGGAGACAGTTGATAAAATGATTACTATATTGGAGTTAACAGTTGTAGGCTTCACATGTAACTAGATACTCAGCACCTGTAGCATGTAGAATTTGTCACACTAATCTAACTTACTAATGTTACTATAAACAATATAAAGGGTCAGCAGTACATGTAGTTATATTGGTATCCTGCTTTGATGACTAAGGTAGCAACAGATCACTAACTCATGGCTAACATTAACTTGTCTATTACTGATAATTCACAGTTCTGTTAGCCCATTCTTAGGGAGAAAGAAGATTTGTAAGTAATTCCTACTACAGGTACAGTGAAATTATTTATTTGAATAGGCTGGCTGTTAGCATCAGCTGCACTTAGGCTAAGGGCAGTATGTACTGTAGTTGGTTGGATGGTTATTCATAGGTATCTGTCAGTGATGCTCCTGTAATCTATGTATCCTGTTCTGTGATTGGCTGGAAGTACACATGTTAATGAATTACTTGTTACTACAGTATTTGCACATACAGTATTTTAATATTGGATAGGTAGCATTAAGTGGAGTAATAAAGAGAGGTGGGGTGTGGTTTTCCTAGCTCTAGTTTTGTAAATAATTTGAAGATGGTCATTCACTGAAACTTTGGGGGAAGATGGTGCTGATGGGCGTGCTGTGGAAGGAACTGTGCTTTAAAGATACAGACAGGATGGACATGTTATTGTGGTGATACTTGTGACTATGGGAGAAAGTATATATACAGTAGTGTGAGGATTATTAGAATGAGGATGTGGGTAAACAATATATCCACAGCTATACTTGAGGGATATTGATACAGTATTGTTATTGAGGGAGGAAGAGGGTAGCTTGAATACATGAGAGAGATTGGGTATAAAATGTTTTTGAGAGAGACGCAGGGAAAGAAACGTACATCATAATTCCGTCAGTGAACATAGTGAGGAGTTGAAGCACTACACAGATGCTTTGGGACAACATAAAGGATAAGTGTTATATCAAGGATTAGATAATGCGGTGCTGCTCAGTAAAAAATCACTTGGGTTTGATGAGCTCATGAAAGATGTCAAGAGATGCCAGAATGAGTAAGGTATCAGACTGGTTGATTAGTTGTTGCTTACCTGTTAGAGTAGAAGGGTGTTAAGCATGCATTAACTATTAAAACTGAAGAGGCTAGTAGAAGAGAATTGGTGATGAATGTGAAGACCAGGTACCCGAGGTGAAATTGGTGTGTTTGGTGGATGGAATTTCGGATGACTGTGGGGGATGAAGTAACTAGATTTCATGTTGTGATGAAAGCAGGTGTAAAATGATCAAACTTTTTGTTTTGTTTAGTTTATTATTGGATAGTTAGAGTGTGTGTGTGTGTGTGTGTGTGTGTGTGTGTGTGTGTTACAATAATAAGTTAGCATGATGAAGATGTAAACAAAAGGAGAAAGAGAGTTATTAAGTCACCTTGCTGTACTGTAGAAAATGGTGACAAAGGAAGTGAACCATAAACAATAGTGTTACATAATCTGTTCACTAGAGTTGCTTTTGGGTCATGAAGGTCACATATGGTTGTGTTTGGAGGCTGCTAAGGCTGATAAATGTGGGCAGAAATAATAGCATCTTGGTGTTTATCCTTTTATATGCTGTACTGCAGTGTGGAAAAAAGGGATGACTTACATTACATACTCCACTATAGTTGAGTAAATTAATGAATACACGTTGTTTTCCATATACTAACAGTAGTGAAGGGTGTAGTGTATTACCTCTGTATGTACTATACTGTACTGTACTGTATGTTGTAGTGTTGTGGGGTATGTGTTAGTATCTTGTTTAACTTTGTAGTTCTGTACTGTATTATTATGTAGCAGGTATAGGTTAAGGTTTTTCTAAATTGGTTAACTTGATACAGAATATATAAATTGTGCCGGGTTTTCCTACCTGCACTCACACACAAATAATATTAATACAGTATAATGATAATACAGTAATATTAAATAGTAATCTGACAATAATGGTAAATAAAATACAGTACAGTGCTTTCAAAATAAATATGACAGTACTGTACAATGTATTTGAAAAACTTAAAATCTATTATACTGTATTTAGTCAAATGAAGATAATTTTTAAAATGTGTTGTCAATGGGAAAGACTTTTTTGCATATATATTTATGGAATGCAGTCCAGGAGGTTGCTGATCAAAGTGACCGTAGTCCCCACAAGCTCCAACCTCATTAATTTTAACACTAGCACTGGGTTTCACTCTTCATCGGGCCCTCTTCATAATGTACGGTACTTATCCTAATGGTGCGGTGAGGACTGTGGCCCCTTTGACCTACTATGACTTGGGAATATGAGCCAGCTGCAGAGAATGATGTGCAAAAACTAATATTGTACTTAATTCTGTCTGCCGGCTACTAGAGTAAGCCAACAGTACTGATGTAATGTTTCACTAACTGTATTATATTAATTTAGGTATTTTATTTTTTTACCGTGGTCTCCAGATAGATAGGAAACACTAATTTACTTAGTGTAATAACCTGTACTACTACTACTGCTAAATGCTCAAATCACCTGACGTCTTGTTCCTTAGAATATTCACTAGATGTATGTTCAAATGTCCTTATTTAGTAAATTATTCCCATCATTTCTGCTCGTGATTATTCTCCCTGAGATCTTTTTTATATCTCGGCAACTGTTACTACTGTACTATACTGTAGTTGGATTTCATAACAATTTACAGTTAATGGTGAAGAAGTTTGCTCTTTATCTCGTCCTTGTTGAGTACTAAGGCATCCAGGAAGTTTGATATGTATGTCTGACTTGGAGTGTAACTGTAGGGTATAGTGAGTCAGGTTTGAAGTGGTGATCATGTGGTAATGGTGCCAACTCTTTGTGTGGGTGGGTTTGCTTTCATGTTTGGTAGATTAGCATCACATCTTTGGAAGGATTCGCACTGCACAAATTCCTTGAAGGTTCTAAAAGCTTCTCGACTTGCTCACAAAGGCTTTCAAGTCCCAACGTACTTTTTTCAGTGCTAATTACTCGCCGGTGTGCCCCATTGTGCTGTGACCACGTGGTTGGCTGGTTGGCTCAGGGTATGGCGAGGAATTTCTTCACCCACCGGAAGTTGGGTGTCCTTGTTCCAAACTCATAGGCACAGCCGCTTCAGTTGCCAGATATATAATTGTTATTATTTATTTGTACTCATTGTTATAACATGTATAACTCATATTTAATTACCTTATTGTATTTACATATTTATTCTGACCATCTACCACTTAAATCCTTGCCTTGCAGTATATGTAAGCTTGTAAATTAAATAATGTTCATCTGGCATGTGCTGATGGGCAGGGCTTACTAGGACGCCATCTTGGTTCAGTACCCGGCAGGCTGCCTACTCTGTTCTACTCCAGCTTCACTTGAGGGCACACTCTCTGTCCTTCTCCAAACTCTGGCCGGTAGACATGTCTGTCTTGAGACAGAGAGGCTCAGGAGACAGAGAGGCTCTCTGTTTCCTGAGCCACTGTGTGGCTAAGGTTGGTAACCTCACTGTTCTAGGGAATTTAAGGTGGTGACTCAGTGGTGCATATACTGAGCTCCCAATTAGGTAGGAAGTGCATTTATATTATGTCTTGTACCTTTTATTTGTAAATATATGTAAATAGGGTAAATTTACCTTGGTGTTTCTCTTGGTCATTTTGGCAAGGGTATATATACAGTGACGAGGCGGCATTGAGGGGGCATCAGTACGCCATACCCTCACCGCTGTAATGTGTGTGATCAACTGCGAATTGTTGTTTTTGTTTATTAACTATTTTTTGGCCCTTATCATGGCTTCCAAATGCAAACCTAATGCAAGTGATAGAAGTGCACCCAAGAAAAGGAAAACAGTCACATTGGAAGTGAAAGTTGGTATAATTAAACATTCTGAAAGGGCAAAACGCCCTCAGTCATTGATAAAGCATTGGGCTTCAGTCGGTCATCGATCGGAACATTTTTGAAAGACAAACAGAAAATTTGTGAACATGCAAAAGGATTTCCACCAATGCACTCAACTGTGATAACAAAACAAAGAAGTGGATTGTTAATTGAAATGGAAAGATTGTTAGTGATATGGGTGGAACATACTCAGGGGCAGAGCTTGTTTGTAACCCAGGGACCCCCCCCCCCCTGTACATTATTTCAATACCAATTACTCGCCAACTATTGGCTTCCCAGGTGAGATTTTGGTGTTTTTGTGTTCTTCTGGAAGTAATTAATTGGTTAAAACCCTCAAATTCCAACTTTCCCGGAAATTTTACCTAATTTTCAGAAGTAGATTAACATAGAAAACGGGAAATTTGTATCATAGAAAATGGGAAATAATCTACTTTCCGGGAAAGTTGGTTATCTACTTTCCCAAAAAGTAGATTATCTACTTTTCGGGAAAGTAGATTATCGACTTTTTGGGGAAGTAGATTATCGACTTTTTGAGAAATTTTACCTAATTTTCAGAAGTAGATTAACATAGAAAACGGGAAATTTGTATCATAGAAAATGGGAACACCCACTTTCCGAAAGTTGCTTTTCCTAAAAGTAGATTATTCACTTTTCGGGAAAGTAGATTATCGACTTTTTGGGAAGTAGATTATCGACTTTTTGAGAAATTTTACCAAATTTCTTCAGAAGTGGAGATTAACATAGAAAACGGAAATTTGTGAATACAGTAGGGCTGGGAAATAATCTACTTCCGGGAAAGTTGTTATTCATTCCCCAAAAGTAGATTATCTACTTTTTCGGGAAAGTAGATTATCGACTTTGGGAAGTAGATTATCGACTTTTTGAGAAATTTTACCTAATTTTCAGAAGTAGATTAACATAGAAAACGGAAATTTGTATCATAGAAAATGGGAAATAATCTACTTTCCGGGAAAGTTGGTTATCTACTTTCCCAAAAAGTAAATTATCTACTTTTCGGGAAAGTAGATTATCGACTTTTTGGGGAAGTAGATTATCGACTTTTTGAGAAATTTTACCTAATTTTCAGAAGTAGATTAACATAGAAAACGGGAAATTTGTATCATAGAAAATGGGAAATAATCTACTTTCCGGGAAAGTTGGTTATCTACTTTCCCAAAAAGTAGATTATCTACTTTTTGGGAAAGTAGATTATCGACTTTTTGGGGGAGTAGATTATCGACTTTTTGAGAAATTTTACCTAATTTTCAGAAGTAGATTAACATAGAAAACGGGAAATTTGTATCATAGAAAATGGGAAATAATCTACTTTCCGGGAAAGTTGGTTATCTACTTTCCCAAAAAGTAAATTATCTACTTTTCGGGAAAGTAGATTATCGACTTTTTGGGGAAGTAGATTATCGACTTTTTGAGAAATTTTACCTAATTTTCAGAAGTAGATTAACATAGAAAACGGGAAATTTGTATCATAGAAAATGGGAAATAATCTACTTTCCGGGAAAGTTGGTTATCTACTTTCCCAAAAAGTAGATTATCTACTTTTTGGGAAAGTAGATTATCGACTTTTTGGGGGAGTAGATTATCGACTTTTTGAGAAATTTTACCTAATTTTCAGAAGTAGATTAACATAGAAAACGGGAAATTTGTATCATAGAAAATGGGAAATAATCTACTTTCCGGGAAAGTTGGTTATCTACTTTCCCAAAAAGTAGATTATCTACTTTTCGGGAAAGTAGATTATCGACTTTTTGGGAAGTAGATTATCGACTTTTTGAGAAATTTTACCTAATTTTCAGAAGTAGATTAACATAGAAAACGGGAAATTTGTATCATAGAAAATGGGAAATAATCTACTTTCCGGGAAAGTTGGTTATCTACTTTCCCAAATAGTAGATTATCTACTTTTCGGGAAAGTAGATTATCGACTTTTTGGGGAAGTAGATTATCGACTTTTTGAGAAATTTTACCTAATTTTCAGAAGTAGATTAACATAGATAACGGGAAATTTGTATCATAGAAAATGGGAAATAATCTACTTTCCGGGAAAGTTGGTTATCTACTTTCCC